TTATGTGGAAGTGTATATATAGGAGGAAATGAACGTTCCTAGTTCTTTTTCATCATTGCAAATCTGGATCGATTTCGCGGCACGCTGGGAAGATGTTTATGACATGATTAGCGCAGAGGAGGTCACTGAGCAATGCATTTCTCTGTCTTAAACATTGTCATCCTTCATGTCATGTCGTCAACCCTGTCGCACTGATGAGCCCGGGGGTTGGCTAGACAACGTTGGTTCGTCTGCGATAACGGGCGAAACGGATCATCTGTGCTTTGGAGTGTGCTTTGGAGTTTATTCTTTTCCCAATTTTACGTTTTTCTTTCCTTCTAATTTTAAGTCATGCGCTAACCAACTGCGCCGGTGGAGCATGATGCGATCCCATTTTGAATTGACTAGTTCATTGCAAACCTTCGATCACATTTGTCATCATCCAAAGGTTCAAACAGACAACTATTCTGTCGTAGCCCGTGCTTCCGTGGCGCAATAGGCAGCGCGTTCGGCTGTTAACCGAAAGGTTGGTGGTTCGAGCCCACCCGGGAGCGAGACTTTTGCACAACGTCTGTTCCTCGTAGAATCTGCAGCGTTGACCGAAGATGATGAGAATTGCTGCCCCTGCTTAACTAGCGACTCTAGGAATCGTTGCAAAACTTCTGCTCCATGGGAGGATCGAACTCCCGACCTCGGCATTTCTCAGTCTTATAAGTACCACGCGCTAACCAACTGCGCCAATGGAGCATGTCGCGAACCAATTTTGACATAACAATTTTCATGTAATCGCTGCAGAAAAGCGTCAGACATCAACGATAGGATCAAAATAGACGGGTGCGATCTGCACGACGACAAGTACAAACTGGCTCTTTTAGTTCTTAACTAGTGGACCCTACACAGTGTAGCATTTCCGCGATTAAGTGATTAGGTCGTGGTGCAAATCCCAAGCATGTGACGCCGCTCGCAAGAACGCGACACCACAGCTCGATCCCATACCCGGAATCCCTCAGAAGGGCTAGTCAGAAGAAAGCACTATGCACCTTCGGGTACTTGGGACTTCCAGTTTAGTTTCATCAAAAATTTGACCTGGATAGGTCTTATTAGAAATGTTTGGCGATTCTTTAGAAAAGCCTCCGCAAATTGACAAATTCCCAGAAAAATCAACCCCAATATACGATATACGATAAGAATCTTACCTGGATTTGAGAAAGTGAGGTCGTGTAAACTGCACTTGAAAAGAATGGTATTATCGCAAGACGCTCGAGAGCTAGAGGAATCAGATCCAGACGCTGTTCCCAGTTACATCCCCTTTCTTGGTGCCCAGTCGCTGCAAATTTTAGCGCGGATCGTGTGACATGATATCCTGCTACAATGTAGAGAGTGAGTTGTGCAAGACACGTCCGTACGCATCTCAGAGCAATGGTGGGAAGGGGGGGGGGAGGGGTGTCGCCGCTGGGCGAACAGAAGATCGTATCGTGCCTTGAAAAATTTTTCGATCTGAATTGATGACTTTTCACCCTTCACTCCCTTTCCTCCCTTTTTTCTTCCTTACTGGGTCTCAAATGTGCTACTTGCTCATGGGCAGTTTTTTTGGTGAAAAACTGGGAGAACGGGAAAAAGGTAGGAAGCTGGGAAAATTGGGGAAGGTGGTAGGTGGAAGGTGGATGGGGAAGCAGTGGGAGGCGTCTATCATAGGAAATTTAAAAGAAAAGATTCGGAGCTTGCAAAAAGTTGGCCAATAGACAAGTCGCCCAGCACAGCGGCGTCTGGCACACCCCCATCACGGCCCATGTGCTCAGCGCGCGCGCCTCCTGGTTAAACAACTCGCGCCCTGAGGACCGCGTCGCGCTTGACTCCTGCCGGTGATTGATAGATAGATAATGTTCGTGATCCTAGAAAGAAAATAGACTTCATTTCGATATATTTCCACGTACTATTTTGATATTGTTATGGGACACGTGCAAGGGATGTGTAAGAGAAACCAACAACAAAGGAAAAAGAGCAATACGCAAAATATCGGTATGTTCAAAACAATAGGAAGCATACACAACAAACAAACAAAAAAACTCTAGCCGAAAACCAACAGTCAAAATATCACAGTAAAGAAGTAAGAGAGTGGCACTAACTGTGATCGTCTGATCTGAATACCCGGATCAGGACGTTGCAGCTATGGCTTACGGCTAGGCTAGCAGAGACGCGAGCCGCTGTCACAACATAGAATGCTGCATGAAAGTACTCATAGCGGGAGGTGACAACACAAGACAGCCGAACCGAGTCAGCTCGTCTGAATCATATCTTTAGTCGCCTGCGTCATCTAAGCCCTAGAAGACACAGACGGCTAAAGTCCGCGCTGCCCAAGCTCGCTGAGCGCAGCCTTGTTTGAGGTGTCCCTCCCACGAAATGAAACGAAGCTGTGGGGAAGAGCCCTCGCTTACTCATTCTAGCTATACGTTGTATTCAGATCAAACTCCACAAGCAGTGCCAAAAAATTATCCTCTTAGCATCGGCGCTACCTGAGATGCTGAACCAAGCTCTGCAGACATTTCACAGTGTGCTCGTGCTGCTGTCAGTAGACACCACATCGTGGCGTTCTGCCCATTTCGTAGAGCAAAAGCTCATCAGAATCTGACAATAATTGCCAGTACCATTGAGAACTTGATCATATCAGTAAAATCCATGTTGTTGGCAATGATCACATCCCGGTAGTTTGTTACCATCGCCAAGGCAAAGAACAGCGAAAAATGAGGTGTAAACGTTTTCTTGGCTGCCCATATCGTCTCCCATACACGGAAATGCATCGTAGACATTTCTGAAAAAGACTTCATGTCAGGCTCACAAAGTGTGAATAATAACGCAAATAATACCTCTTTTGAAATCCAATAAAAACCATCGATAACTAAAGTAGAGATGGTAAATCGAAGTGAAGTCAAAAGCGTGAAGATTTGCGGGTCGACAACCTTAATGTAATAAATGATATGAGAACGTTAAACGCAGGACAACAAGAACACAAAACGACTTCTATGAGCCTCGACTTCTATGAGTCTCGACATGATCTCTGGGCGTGGAGCCCAGGGATGCTGCAGAGTCTCTTAGAACCTCGCGCTTCAAGCTTGTGTGGCAGGCCTGACTGCACGGAGGCAGGTAGCTGGGACTGAATGCGGCCTATTTTCGCTGTGGAAGCTTGAAAGTACATTTAAGTAGGCTGGTAACTAGGCACTCACTCACACTTCTATCGCATCCCGTAGCTGACTCTAAAATGAGCATTCTCAACACCCTCTTCGCTTAATCGAGGTACTTGAGCAGCAGAAACAGCTTGAAACTTGTGAATTGAAGATAGCGCACGCTGGAGTAAGCCATGACCCCTAATAACTCCCAATTATCTGTCACAGGTTATTGTAAGTAGCGACAACAAACCCCCATTCAACTCAAATGAGAACGGTTTGCGAAAATGCTCAGCTTTCTAGGTTGAATCCATTTCAATTACTTGGGAATTACGGAAAGGAATCCTTTAGAAACGAAGCACCACCAGAACAAATAAATAATTTTCCATGAAACGGTATGGAATGCACTAGGAAAGTAAATCACCATGGAGCTCAACATTATGTTTAAATGTGAATATATGAGAGGTCAACTTCCAATGCCAACAGCGAGTTCACTTCACCAAAGGTCACGCAGTCCCATCGATATTGGAAGTATAAGTGAGTCATACATTATCTGAAGTTCCACTCTCACGCTAGCTGCTCATGCATATCAGCCCACCTTTACGTCTTATAGTTAGATTTGGCTGCAACATGGCTCCACTTCGATTTGTCGCATCGCCACTACATGGAACTTGTGATCCACACCCAGATTTTGGATACCTGAGATTTTTTTCTTCACTCATTCTGTATCTCCGTCTGCTCTCCTTATCTCCTTGCTGCCATCTTCTTCAGACCACGATGTTAGGATCCCGGCGGGGGTCGTATTTTGCCGAAAAAACTTTTAATTATGTCGATGTTTCTTGCTTCCACAGACCATAAGTGGGATCGTCATTTGCTCGCTGTTGGGAGAGGAGGAGGTATTTGCCTTTGGAATTTTCATCGTTTCTATCCCTCCTTATTGGTGGCGCCAAAAGTCCTTAGTTGGTGGCGCCAGCCAAAGTTCTATACAAACTATTATTCTGTAAACAGAAACTAGCATTTTGTAGGACGATTCCCTCGCCCCGCGCAATAGCAAAATATCTGGGAAAGACTAGAAAATCTCGTTCTGGGAAAACTGGAAAAGTAGAAAATTAGGAAAATCTAGAAATGTGGTAAGTAGGATGGAGGAGGTGGGGGAGGGTCGTATCAGAGGAGGAAATTAGGGGCCGGGTCGTATTTTGAGCACAATTTCCCACCGGCAAGACGTCCCTGCTTCTCAGTGAATGAGTGAATGCTGCGATGAATCCCTTCTGTTCAGAAAAATATATCTACCTGTATCAGTGAACGCAGATTCATGAGACACACATCCATGCCACTTCGCTGTGGAAAATTATCCTTAATCTTGTCATCAGCACCGTAAAGCATTCGAGTGTGAGTGCCTCTGAAATAGAAGATTTACCCTCCGAAACAAAAGATATTTGCCAGATCTAGCACTCACCGTCTTCAAATAACAGATTGAGCCCTAAAAATGTCACATCCCTTGTTATACCATCTTCGAGATCTTCGTCCACGTATGATCATGACGCTTCTAAAGAAATACCCCGTATTCTGGATAGTGACGTTCATATTACGCGAATAACTTGTTATTGAGTGGCGTTTTTCGTTCGAGTTTTCGTGTTTAGAAACTCTTCTACTGATATATTCTTCGCCTGTTGTGATGCGAAGGTTAAGTGTAATAGTACCCTCGTTATGACGCGAAGAAGAGAACGCACCAATAGAAGACAACTACTGCGGCGAGAAAAACCCCCCGCTCCATCAGCTGAATATGCCTTATATCCGCCGACTAACGGAGTAACTCACCGAAGGCTTTCGAGATTCTCTTTATTAGAGAAGAATATCAGATTTCTATCGCATCTCTCGACATCCTTGTCAATTCGATGTAGATTAATGGCGAATTGTCGGTAAAGAATCTCGCCATCGCTGTGATGGGGTTTTTCCTGAAATGTATTAAGTTAGCTGCATGAACGATACTCCACTTTCCATCCAAAGAAAAAAAAAAAACATTTGTGACCCCTGTTGGCGCACTGTCAACCTCTCCGCGTATTGCTTGTTTGTATCGAACAGTCCAATTCAGGTTTTCTTCTATCGACGCATCAAAAACATCTGTCGTACCATAGAAAAACCACATGGGCGCGCCATCGATCTTGCTCATCACCTATGGCGAACTCACCGCAACCAAGTAGTAATTTTCTAAGCCGTCGCTCCCAATTGTATAGGTAAAGCAAAACAGTATAAAGATTTATATCCTTACTGTAGACTAACTGCTTACCCTCCATATTATTACTTGAATTATCGGTTGTTCTTTTTCATATGAAGAAATCTTGGAATTTCCAAGTTTCATCAGGTAGTGATAATTTGAAGATCGCGAACCGACCGGTCCGACTATTTTGAGAATTTGCTGCGTCCAAAGGTGCAATGCGATTTCGTTGTTTTCTCCATATCCACACAAGTCATCTTCACTTTCACGTTTCACCAAGCCACCAATGCCGCATCGTAACGTGCGCGTCTCTTGATATACAGTTTGAGCCTTAGGTACATCAACGAAAAGTGTTGTTTTTATGGACCATTCTTATTAGATGTAAGTTGCTTCGAAGTGACGATTCGGCACTATTTACCCTTTACTGCCCCAACAATCCCAAATTGAGCCAGTTTCTGACCGACTTTTTTCTCCGTGGACAGATTTGGCTCAAATGTTGTCTCCTGGGGTATTTTGACCTCCTGAATACGAATATGACATTCACATCTGAAACCTCTGGCGCACTGGCGCCACAGGCCCTGCATCTGAGGTTTGGCGCCAGCACTGTAGCGCGGCGGCAGGAGTTTTGCCCCGAGCGATGTGATATTCGTGATCAGGGCGCGTCAAACACCCATAGGCAGGTTTCAGCGAATTGGTGGTTCGACATTGGCCGCCAGCGCCGTTGCGCGGCCCAAAATAATCAACCACCAATCCGGGTTAGCGGATCGGGATTTTGCTCAGCGAGTCGAACTACCTGGAGCAAGTTCATCAATTCTGTCCACGAGAAAAAAAAAGTCGCGTCGGAACTGCCGATCAGATGACTGGGCGTAAAAGGGTAAATAGTGCGACGATTTCAATTTTTCCGACGTAGATAAACGCTACTGCCTGCTTTGCAAGGTTTCCGCTTTATGTTGACAATTCATTACCGTGAGCACATTTTTTGCAGAAATATCAAATTAAGGGTGCTGTTCTTGAGAAACGCTACCTGTTGTTCACGCTGTGTAATACTTTATATAAACTATCTCAATGAATCACTCATTTTAGGGTTTGTTTAATAATATACTATTATGAAATCTTTTTCAACGTTTTGAAAAATATGATGGTGTGCGTTAGTTTTTGTCGACGCCATAGATTAGATCTGAAATCAAACTGTCAGCTAGTAGTAATATTACGCAGCTTTATTAAATACCACCGGCGTTCCGTGATGCCTGCACGTCTTCTTCTGAGATAAAGAATGGATTTGCTGAGCGGGCCCGCCTCCGCCGCGCTTATCTATCCCCTCACCGGCTTTTCTTTTATACAGATAGTCAATAATCTTTGACCAATATGTTCATACGAGTGCACTACATGATTCTTTTATATAGTGAGATTGTAAACAATCACACATTGCCTCAAAGTGATACTAAAACATGGATTTTATTCGCGACTCTGCTAGCGGTTGATCCTTCCTCTATTCATCTTATCGCTTTCATTGGCGCTTTTATTACCACACTGGTGATGAGTTTATACTAAACGCACTATACGCTTCCCCTCCCGTACTCTCCCTCACTAATCCCACCCACCCACATTATCCTCACCACTCCCACTTGCCCCACCCACTCCCCATCCCTGCCGCTGCACGTGCTCACGTCCACCTGCCACGCGAGCAGCTCGTGCAATGATTTGGAGTGCACTACATGGTTCTCTTATATAGTGCAGGGTGTTATCACAATCAAAACATTGGATTGATACATCTGCACCAACTGGTTTCGCCACCGGCTAGCGGTCGTTCTCTCCTTTCATCTAACATGTTTAACCTGTAAAGCATTTTGCGGACGGACATACATACATACATACATACATACATACCGACAAACCGACACACAGAGTTAGTAGTTTATAGAATGTAAGGATTCACGCTTATCATATGGGTGAAAGACACGGGTACTTCATTGGCGCAACCCTTGTTTTTGAGTGTAGAAAGGAACACGGATGCCGCAGTGAGAAAAATACAAGTAGTTCCCCGCATCTGCGTACCACTAAAACACCCTAACTAGTTAATTGCTGGATGCGGAAGCGTATTAGAATAGTGTACTATTCATACTTGTAAAGAAAAAGAGCTTTGTAAAGTTGTTAAGGAAGCTGCGCCAAGAATGTAGACCTGCCCGATGACGTCACCATGCATTGGCTCTCTAATAATACGCGCAGCAGTAACTTTTCCAGCTGGAACGTAGCCCGGATTCTGCGCTAAAAGACAGTCCTGCGCTCGAGCAACTCGTGGGTGTCCTTCCTCTTACAAGTAGTCTGGTCCTCAGTCTCTAAGATTATCTCTTCTTCATAGCTTCACAATTAGTGATGAAGCCGCTGTGGCCCCCATAAGTGGAATTTCTGACGCCTCCCCAGTTGCCCCGCCCACCGAAACTCAAATGCTATTTCCTTTCTTGAGTTCGGTTCGCGCACCAAGTTTTCCGTTTTTTTTTTGTTGTCAGACGGTATTAGTATTGAATGACGCGCAGAGACGTGGGCTAGACGTGGCAGAACATCGCATTGATGGCATAAAACGAGGAAGTCCCGAGCACTCGTTCAGAGGGGCTGTCAGGTTCTCACTTGAAGTGTTCTCCATGGCTTTCTTTGCTTTTTTTTCTTCCATAAGACATATTTAGAAAACATTTATGGGTACACTACCTGTTAATGTAATCATGGAGTTTTTCTTTAATCTATCGTCGTTTTTGCCGCAGAAATTCTTGTTATAGCATTTTGGCAACTTTCCAGGGTGCGATGCTTTTGAAAACAAAAGGCGAAGAATCTCCGAGCTGGGACTTTTCCTTATTTCGCCATTGGAAACAAAAAGCGACTACGACACTGTAGTATGTGTGTAAGTTCATTCTGGAGTCATTTTTACGATTTCGAGATGACAGCGAAAAAAGTGATGTCGTATCCAGAGATTCAAAAAGTGAAGTTGTTTAGTTCATTGAAGGAAGTGGTGCCCTTTCTATCGGAATTGGCAACTCTTATAATGTCATGGCACCGGGGATGTGGAGCGGTGTGCGTTGCTTCCCTCATATAAATAGGCGGCTCTGCTTGTTGGGTTGTTTATTGTCGTTTTCGAGCTCAATCATGTGCTTTCGAGGCCCAAGACAGGTTGAAATTGTCACAAATGGAATTGTCCAGCAAAGACGCGATCGCTCGAAATGTTGTCCCACAAAAACGCTCGTCCGCCGTCGTTCGCCATATTTGGATGAAGTACGCAGCCACGCCCTCTCCATCTTGGGGATATGTATGTTCGCTGCACAGAGAGCAATCCTATGATATGTATATCTTTAACATCTCACTTTGAACGGTGTTGCGATTGTTTACGATTGGATTATGCAACAAAGAGTGGTGTAGGCAGGGGTTCACTGGGAGGTGGGGCCACTTAGAAGAAACACGATCCAGGGAAGTTATATCGGATCAGCTACCAGAAGGGCTAACGAGCTTTCCCTCTCTCCAGGCCAGTAGGTTGCTACCGGACTTGATAAGAATAAAACTATTGAATTGTAGTTTTTGCAATTCGTGGTTAATGGTAAGTCACTTTCGCAATGCCACTTTCGTTCTGGTAGTGCAAGATGGGAAGCATGGCGCATCCCAAAGAGGGTCTAATCAACGCCAAAAGTTCCATCAGGTCATCATTTCTATTTTGAAATGAGAACGCATACAGGCTACTCTTTAAGCAATTGAAGAATGTACCCTCGAGACAATCACGTCAGTCTTCTCTTCCCCCTTCTCTAATAACCGCCGTTTCACTTATAATTTGCGCTACTTCTATTTTCATACATATCGTACACGGGGCCCCTAGAAATATGTAAGAAGGCATGCTAGTCAATGCGCTCAAGGTAGAATTTCCAGTAGTCATGATCCCTGCAAACGATAAATCGTGTGATGAGGGCTACGTTTGGATCAGCTTTCCCACCAATGAGAACTTTCCCTGTCGGTGTATGAGAAAAGAAAACGCCCGATTGAAATTGAATGCCGCTATTTCCCTAGATGCTAATCGCCATATGGGAGACCAAAAATGACTTGCATTTTGGACGTTGCTCATTCTGAAGAGCCTTTTTCAAAAGAGAAACAAGGCAGGTTACGTGATTAACGATCTATTACTGCTCGACACTAAGGTATCGAAAAGAGTCGTATACCCTTTCCCAGTTGAAGATGCATTCCGCAATCATGGAATGAGCGGAGATATGAGAGGTGGAGAAATCCGTGGTGAATTCCTCATTAGTGAGCTCTCTCTAAGACCCGACTGAGGAAATGGTGCGCCAATGAGGTGTTTCTCCGTCTTCGTTCTTACGAACAGCGCCAAATGTCCCCTTTAACTATTTCGGATTAAGTCAAGAAGGTCTTACAGGAGCCAAAGGACAGCCAATGTGACATTGGACTCTTTCGGAGTCATAAAGCCATGGAAAGAACTGTACTGTAATGAGTGTGATACGATAACGGATTTCTTCGCTTGTTCCAGTGTAGTTAAAGTCAATTATGCAGTAAAACCTCAACAGATCAACTACTAATGGTGTGGTTTGATGCAATCGATATCAATCGAGCTTTTAACTTCGAACGACACACTGTACATCTTCCTGAAATATTCATGGCAACTTGGTCTCACCACTAATCCATTCTCAGGCATTTCATCTTCAAACACCTCACTGGTCAGCGAACATTCGCGTTCCGGCATGGGAAACCTTCGATGTCGGGCTAAAATAGTTAGGATAAAGACCAGTGTTAAATGGTACTAAAAGCAAATTCCTCTGCCGAAATGAGAAGCTGACGTACCGGCCAGAAAGTCTTCCTCATCTTGACGGCGAACTTCTGCTTCAAGCACTCTCCAGTTCTCAACATCTTCTCTGGAAAATTTAACTCATTTTCCGTCTAATTGATTAGTCAAAACTGTTTTGCTGAGTACCTGTACTTCGCTGTAAATTCGGTCATTTTTGGTTCAGGTTCCTCATCCCAACTGAATAGCTTCAGGAGATATGGCCAAGCCTAAGAAGAAACTCGTGAACTTTGACCTTTCTCTAACATTCTGCTAAAACAACAATAAGTACCTGCCGACGAAGTTCTTTGGTGGCCGTACCCTCAATCCCTTTCCAGTAGACTCTTAGGAAGAACTCCTCTTCCAGTTCAGTCTGAAAACGTGAAAATTCAGTAGACGATTAGCTTGGCCTGTTCAGTGGTAATCCTTACCGTTTTCTCAGACCGACATCTTCTCCAAAATTCCTCGTCAACGGGCAGAGCGTCCTCCTCGCCGAGCATTTCTTTCGTATCGACCAAGTACATAAGGTGATTTCTTATCGTTCGTAAGTGTCTACAGTACGATAGCCCTAAAAGGAATTCTATGGGAAAATCACCAGTCTTCGAAGCCATCCCCGTGGATTAATGGATAGTTCAGGACTGTTCAGACTGCGGGTAGGTAAGAGAAAGCACTCACAACCGAAGAAGGCTCTCGCCAATATCTGATGACGCATCGATTGACATGCACGGTCGATTTGAACGCTAAAAATCGGCATTCAAATCGTGAGATATTACAT